ATTATCGTGAAGAGTATTTTATCTTGTTTAAATTTCTATAGAATTTCTAGAGAATATATACACCTGTATTTCCAAACTTTAAATTCAAATTATTCATGATAAAAGGTGATTGGTGAGGACTGGGATAATCAAACGCAAGTGCCCATGCGGGCTTTTAATTAAGCCTGGGTTTCTGAACAGAGATGTTGTCTTCCTACATAACTTGTAGCGGATTGCTACTTTATTAAAGCCTGACTGACTCAGAAATCTCTATGGCAGATTCTCCAACATCTAGCTAGACTCCCAGAACCAGCTAAGCTATAGCCCAGCTATCAAGGAAACAGACGTTTACCACGGAGAACGTTCATTCAGGACGTATATTGCGGATCAAATGTACACGCATGGAGCTACTCATGATCAGGATGGGGATTAGGTTAAACAGAGGTTACTTTATGATCACTGTTTGTACAGTCGCTGCACACAGAGTTGTAAGGCCGCACCTGTTTGTACGATCGCTGCACACAGAGTTATACGGCGCACCTCCCAATCCTGGCGAACTGCACACAAAGTTGTACGGCCGCACCTCCCAATCCTGGCATCTCCCAGTCCTGGCGTGCAGGCATGCGATGACGTGTCCCACAAGGCTTGTCCCGCAGAGTTCTAGTGATTGGCCACTGTTTGTACGGTCGCTGCACACAGAGTTGGCCGTACCTCCCAATCCTGGCAGCAGACATGCAGGCATACGATGCACTGTACGGTCGCTGCACACAGAGTTGTACGGCCGCACCTCTTTTTGTTTCTACGGTCGCTGCACACAGAGTTGTACGGCCGCACCTCCCATGGTCGCTGCACACAGAGTTGTACGGCCGCACCTCCCAATCGTACGGTCGCTGCACACAGAGTTGTACGGCCGCACCTTCCAATCCTGGCGAGCAGACATGCAGGCATACGATGACGAACAGCGCGATAACGTGTCCCACAAACTCAAGTATTAATAACACTTATATTACTGCCCAATTAACTTTTGTTGGGAGTAAAAATATAGATGAATTCTATATGAAGCGTTTTTTTCTTATTTGTTACCTCAATGAACTGTTAAGCAAGTCGAACCTCAAAGATATGATCAGGTCCCAAATCCCCGTAGATCCACTTAACTGTCAACGAAAAAGACAGTGTTCCTTAAGATTAAGTTTATTTGAAATTACTTCCTAAATTTGTTCAAATATTTTCTTCATTTTTCTTCACTATCTCCATCACTTTAAGTGGTTTCATATCAAAGATACTTTTCCCCTAAATTTTCCACTTTAGCTAAAAACCAAAACTTAATGAATTTAAATAACAATCACATGATCTCATTAAAGCATTCCAGTCAATATCTTTTTTTCTACGCAATCTTCACTCCATCGCACCTATTTCCGTGCCGATTATCACACAAACAAAATTCGCTCAATCATTCCGCGATCAAAATTTACTCAGTTTAAAGGCGTGATTGCTTTCAAGGTTAAGATGAGCTAACGCGCAGTTCTGTAGCCGTTGGCAAATGGGGTCGACCTCTGTTGCGTAATGACTAAACTGAAAATTTGAGAAAAATGTAACGATTGGATCATTTATTTCAGTATTTCATTAAGTTGAAACACTCTAAAAGAAATTGGCCTTAAATCACCATGTGGATGCAAATTTTCAGTCAAATATTGGGAAAAATAATTCCATGATTTTAAGGAAGTTATCTCATTGTCTAATACATTTGCATTGTGAGACAAAATTTACTGATTTAATTATAATAAATTGCTTAGAGCAAAATTATTAAATTAATAAATAAATAGTGCTTATTAAAATGCATTAATACCTTTCCTATAGTGCTCTTATTAAAGGAACATAATTTCATCAAGGTAACGCTTTGAATATTCATATTTTTCCTAATTTTAAATCATAAGCGAAATTAATTCACAGAATAGGATCAGTCGAAGCACTTGACCAATAATTCTAATTACTTCTTCAAATTTAAAAATTTATTGGATTAACTTCAATGAGACAAGGGTTAATCTGATTAGGTCACACATTCTAAGACAATTTATCTGAGAATCTCATGTAATTGAATTCGAGTTTCATATTTGATAGAAGATCTTCAGTTCTGGGGGAATATTAGTTAGAAAACTACTAGGAAACATCATCCTAAAAATTCAGCATTTGCTCCTTCAAGAATCTTTGCCTGATTTCCATAAAACCGGCAAAAAATTCGGTCAATTCACTTTTATGACTTTTTTAATCAATTTATTTCTAATGCTGTGAATGGGAAAGAATAGGTTTTTAGTGAACTAAATCAGAGGGCTTCATTTTTCGTTATGCACACACAGTGGGGAGCATGCTTTGACAAATCTGTCATTTTTCAAGGAATTTTAGTGTTTTAAATATGACAAATTTCAGATCAAAAATATCTCAAAACGGATTGGCTTTCGATTCAATGAGAAAGGACGTTTCAGTTGTTTATAAAAAATCGATTTGTTTAAGTGCATTACATTCGAAAATAATTTCATTAACACTCTTTTCCTTAAATACTGAATTTTTATAATCTCAAAAGTGAATCCCACCTTGTCGAATTTTCCATATCGAATCGATTGCAATAAGTACTGATAGCTTAAAAATCATTTTAAACCATTTACGCGAGTAAGTTTTAAAGTCGAGACACCGCTTACTATGTTCCTCAAATGAGAAATCCCTTGAAATAAAAAAGGTAAATACTTTTAAATTTAACTCTCCACTCCAGTAACTCCTCGACACTTCAAGACTGCCATTCGATATGGCAAAGAATTGTGCTACTCCTATAACTTCATTCACTTGTGCTCAGCAGATGTTAATACTGGAGGAAGTTTTCGGTTACAGTAAAAAAGGGGACCCCAAAATGCCCTCAATTTTTCTTTTAAAAGAAACATGTGACTTCTTTTGTTTTCTTTGTGTTTGTTTTTGGGGCGTTGATTAAGCAAAAATAACAAACACGCATTATGGATTTTTTGCCACTTGGTTGCCTTTAGATTTGGTACACATTTAAGCAGTTTCCTATTTATTAATAAAATTATTATTCACACAGAAGTTTTTTTTCTTTTTTTTAATTATTATTTATATTCCATCAATTTAAGAAATGAATTTTTGCCCAAGAGGAAATTGCACAGTAAAAAGAGAACAAAAAATTTTTGAACTTTCTCTAGGATGTTAATGTCCTAACTCAAAGTCCAAAGATGAGACTATCAGCTGATTGAAATCTAAATGGTTACAGGGCAAAGCATAGAGGAGGAGGGGGAATGATGGCGAGAATTCAAAGAACTTTCAAACATTTATTTGTTTCAAATGGCAGGCGTTATGATAGGTATCATTAGCCCTTTAGTTGACTTCGTGCTTCACAGAAAGGAAGAGGAACACCAAAGTGGCAAAAAGTTCACAGAAAGGAAGATAAACATCCAAGTGGTAAAAAGTCCTGATATTTATCATTAGCCCTTTAGTTGACTTCAGGCTTCAGAGAAAGGAAGAGGAACACCAAAGTGGCAAAAAGTCGAGAGCAGAGACAGTGGAGGGATTAATGATTTGCAGATGTTAGAGACAGACACAAAACAGAATAATGATTCACAGATGTAAAGGAGACAGACAAAGGAGGAACACCAAAGTGGCAAAAAGTCGAGAGGGGGGACAGCATCAAAGTGGCAAAAAGTCGAGATGGGGGGACAGAATAAGGATTCACAGACATAAAAGAGACAGACAGACACAAAGGTAGAAAAAAGGTGAGTACTGTGGAATTAGTCGAATATGAAACGTGGTGGGGTCTTGGTAGTTTGAAGTCAGAAGTCAATTGCCGATTAATAGACGCCGTATGAGTATACGTTGCCCAAGTGCACCACGGACTCTTTTGCCGTGTATACGTTGCCCAGGGTGCACCAGTTTGTTTGCCGTATGAGTATACGTTGCCCAGAGTGCACCACGTGAAGGTAGGTCTATCGCACACCCCACTTTCCAACATGTGAATTAGTAGACAGTAGACCAATGGGAAGCCAGGACCTGCCATATACTCAGTTACAAACCCATGAAAATTGAGATGACCAGTAACCACTGTGTCAAGATGGTCTCTTCACTTGAATTTTCTTTCGTGGGCCTTATGGACCTTCCACTGGATGCTGTATAATAAACTCCCTGTTTTAATCACACTTCCGGCACTATTGTTGCAAATAATTTAAGCTTTGGTGGTAGTACTTCCCGGGTAAACAGTCAATAGAAATGTAGCGGATTGCTACCTTAGTAAAGCCTGACTAACTCGGAAATCTCTATGGTAGATCCTCCTACATTTAGCTAGACTCCCAGAACTAGCTAAGCTATAGCCCAGCTATAAAGGAAACAGACGTGTAGCAAGGAACATTTATTCAGTAGCGGAAAACAGACGTGTAGCAAGGAATACGTTTATTCGATACGGGAAAACAGACGTGTAGCACGGAGCACGCTTATTCAGTACGGATTCAGACGTGTAGCACGGAGCACGTTTTTTCAGTACGGGTATCAGACGTGTAGCACGGAGCACGTCTATTCAGTGAGCATATTACGAACCAGCTAAGCTATAGCCCAGCTATAAAGGAAACAGACCGAAACTAGCTAAGCTATAGCCCAGCTATAAAGGAAACAGACGATAATTCGGAACACGTATATTCAGTCACGTAATGATCAGAAAAGTGTGCACGGAGCACGTTTATTCAGGACGTATCTTGCGGATCAAGTCACGTTTATTCAGGACGTATATTGCGGATCAAGTGTACCCGCTTATTCAGGACGTATATTGCGGATCAAGTGTGTACACACAGAGTATATTGTGGATAAAGTGCACACGCAGGGTAAGTACGAGTATTGCAGATAAAGTGTACACGCATGGAGCTACTCATGATCAAGATGGGGGATTAGGTTAAACAGATATTGATGATTGGTCACCGTTTGTACGGTCGCTGCACACAGAGTTGTACGGCCGCACCTCCCAATCCTGGCGAGCAGACATGCAGGCATACGATGACGAACAGCGCGATAACGTGTCCCACGGAAATGTATGACATGACAGTTTGAAGAGGAGTTAGCAAGTGGTCCGATAGGAGGTTCGAGGAACCCCCCAAAGCCTTACCTCTTATTATTATTATTTTTTCTAAGGGAAAATATGTCCAATTTATTGATAGAACAATGAAAGTATGACATGGGATTTGACCATACTTTAACGTATGTCTTCATTGAGTCGGGTATTTAATGATAAATTTTAACATAAATAAACCAAAATCGTCAAGATATTAAGTTTTATTTTAAAGATTAAATAGATAATTTTCAAATAATATATTGCTTAATCATTCTAATTTAATCAACCCATTAATAAAATCGAAACTGGGTGAATATTAGGACACTTTTTTTAATAAAGTAAGCGACGTGAATATGATAATGTTAATTTTTTTTCACAATTCGGATGGAAAAACAAAATAAATTATTTTATTATTATTAGTCATTTTACGACTATCTCCTAACATCGAATTTTTATATTCGCTTTTAGTTAGCCTCCCAACATCTTATTCCAGCAATTTGGGAGGCGGCTTTCTGCACATATCTGGCCAAATACCTCACTCCTGGCTGGCTGAAGGAGTCAACTTATAATGGAAGCGGTTCGCTGAACGGTGCTAGCGCTAATCTTCCCAAAATTATTGTCACAGAGCGTCGACGCAGCTCACGTCTTCGAAGTACGGAGAATGGAAGCACCAGCAGTACCCCCAATACGACAACCGACTCTCATTCCGACGTGTTCGCCTCCCCAATTCAGAGACCTCGTCAATTGCACACTACTAGTGGTGGAATCGATAGCGATCACACAGCTCCTAGTATTGCGTATCTTCCACTATTCTCCCATCTACGGGAAATGCTCACAACTGAGGCCGAACTTGTCATGAATGAGGCGGTGCTACAATCTCTTAGTGTAAGTGCCCTGATTTTTACCTTGATCCGAAGTTATTATGAAAACCACGGCCTAGCGATAACCGGTTATGAACGATTTTAGGAACCTAATATTAGGTTATTGCTGAAATTTGCATTTATTTCTTAAAAATTGAATCATCTAATGCTTTTACGAAATATGGGAATTGGAAAGTGTATGATTTAAATTTGTTCTGAATCATGCGGCAAGTTTTATTAATGTTTATTTGTGAGAAGAAATTAAGATCAGGTAACTGCAAAGTTTTAATAACTGTTAAAGAGGCAGGGATTGAAATGACACTGAGTAGAATGTCAATCTTTTGATGAGTCAAATTTCATTCGATTTTTTTCGAATTTCATTTGAATAATATTTGTGGAATTGATGGTTCCTGTTTCAAAACGTCGTGTTCTAGCTGCTTCGTCTGTCATGTTTAAGGAGACGAATTGATCTCTTATCAAACACAACAGCTCACACGATCTTAACAAAGCAGGCATGGAATAGGTGGAATAGGTGCAGAATGAACCCGACCTTTTAAGGCTACGTTCACTTAAAGTGAATTTAAAAATAGGTGATTATTTTTCAGCGCCTATCCGTGATCTCTAAAAGTTCGTAGATCTTGACACGATCAATAATTTGTTTAGCTCTGAAACTAGGCCTCAAATATTGTGGAATCGTAATCTTTTAGAAATAACCCCGTTTAATAAGGTGATAATTGGCCTTTTCTAAAAGAATAGAAAAAAAGTTTTCTTTTCAGCTCATTTTTCTTTAGCGCGCCGTTATAACTTCTTATTTTATTGCACATAATTTCATTCAAAATCTCTCTCTCTTTTCAATCTCACGTCGA